CTCATTCTATATTATGTATGAATTTGTTTATAGCTTTTATTATTAATAGACTCTTTTCGTCAAAGGAAATTTTTATTTACATGGTATATGCGCGACATCTTTCGATAAGAGAAGGCCTAACTTTTGAATTGGTTATTGCATCAGTACTTACTCTTTCTTTCTTTTTTCTTTTGGGCCCAAACACACTACAGAAGTGACTTAAGTTAATTTTGTTTTAAGTCAAAACGCGTTCACACCAAGCAGTGAAATCACCAATCAGAACAGCGAGCAAGTCTCTTTTATGTAAGTGTAGTGCATAATAAAAAATTGTTATGCAATGAGAGATGGCTCTATCATGCATACTGTTTGTTATTGACACATTCTACATTATATTTTCATTGTTTCTAAATTCTATTTTATGTACAAATATGACTGCAATTTTGTAAAACAGACGATATTTTTGTTTGACGTCGATTAAAATCAGGGGAGCCATCGGCGGGCCACCATGGTGGCACGGTATGGCACTTGCCATACCAAAGCTTTTTATTCTTTATGGGCTTTCCTATACGACAATTGTTTTCGATTCAATCTTTAATCAGAGACCAACAAAAAGAAAAATAAGACCAGAGGTGACTCCTACTTTTCCATAAAGGCATCCTCAGATATGCTTGATTTACTTATTTTTTTCTAGAGTTGATACAGCAGATGATCGAAAATTATTTGAGCAATATGTTTTTTCATTTTTGACCCGCCTGAAAGTATTTCCGATCAGTCAAAGTCTATAAGCTAGAATCAGAGCTTTGTGCTCTTTCCGAATATGGACTTAGACATTTTATGTCGGTTTCCGTTCGAGAATAGTCAAATAATCTTTGAAAGACTCAAAACTAGTTTGGACGGAACGTTTGCATGGAAGTTTCTAATCAAAAGTGTGACTTGTTTTGGCTTGCTTGAGAGCATTTTCAGATGAGTCAAACCTAGGGATTAGGACCAGAATTTTGTGCTCTTTCTCAATATGGGTCTAAAACTTTTGTATCTATTTTTGTTCAAGAGCTTTGAAAGGCTTAAACGATTAGTTTGGACTGTGAACAAACAGGTTTCGCAAATCCATACCAATCCCTTTGGGAAGATGCTAAAAATTTTCGGATTCGTTAGTTTTGTAGAGCAAACAATTCTTTACAAAATGTGATATTGAACTAACCTGTAGCCTTTACCCAAGGTGAGCTGTACGCATTTTTTCAAGAGCTACTGTACACAAAAAGAGCTTTTGATGAACAAAAACGATTTTTCAAAAATGACGATTTAGGCGAAACGAATAAGCAGAAGCCTTGTTCAAAGATGAAAAGTATTCAAACAGCACATTTTGTAGGATAGGTTTTACTATACAAGCTGGTATAATAATAAAGGTTCCACCTTTTAGTTTCGGATGACAGTAGCAAAAACACAAAAATATGCGGACAAACTATCCGTCTAAACTAAGGTTTTGGGCTTTTCAAAGATTATTTTACCGATCTCAAACAGAAGTCAACACAAAATCTCTAAGACCATGTTCTGAAAGAGCACAGAATTCTGATTGTAATACATAGACTTTGACTCGCCGGAAATACTTTGAGACAGATCAAAAATAAACAAACATTTTGTCCAAACAATTTTCGGTCACCCATTATTTTAATTGTATTGATGAAGTTTTTCTATGAAAAGTTTGTGATAACATCTTTGTTTTTTTTGTCATTTTTTCAACAGTGAGAATAATAAATATAATATGAACAGAATGCCTACCGTAGAATCTTAGCATGAGAATCAAAAAACATGAACAAAATGTAAGGTTCTATTTTTTTATAAGTTCCTTACACTTTTTAATGATTTTGCCATACCAAAAAAAATGATCCTGGCCCGCCGATGGTGGGAGTCATTACTTATGTATATGTAGATGATAAATGTGTGAAAAAAGACGGCGCCATATGTTTTTTTTTATTGGTGAAACGACATCCGCACTCCATTGGTGCCTTAACGTTAAGTCATGTTAAAAAGAAAAGATGACTTAATTCTGTCTTAACTTGATTCACAATTTGATTGGTTAAGTCAGTCTTAATTCGCGTAGTGTGTTTGGGGCCTTTGTTAACGTGGTTATATGAGTATGAAACGAGATTGACTAAGAAAACTTGCTATCTCATATATATAAATAAATATATATATATATTTTTCTTTTTCTTATTTGAATTTTTAGAATATTCAAGAACTTTTTGTTTGAGATTTGTTCAACATATGGATGAAGAAGTAAATACTTTTATAATAAAAAGATTTAGATGAAATAATTTATATTTACTCTTTTTAGAATGAAAAATGGTCTATTGAACATTTAAAAAATTTATCAGTCACTTCAACTGAAACTTCAAATACATTACAAGTCAATTCAACAGAAGTTTCAGAGACTGTAGCAAACAGTGCAATTGAACGAATGGAATTATGTATTAAGGAAATAAAAGATAATCAAATAAATGAAGAACAAAAAAAAGAATTTCTTGCTGAATTTTGTCATTGTGCTGAAGAATTTCATTCAACAGAAGGTTTTTTTACTCTTGGTGGTCTTGATATTCATTCAACATTATCAGATGAAGATAATGATCATTGTCAAAGAATTATTGTTCAATCTGGTTTAAAAGAAAAATTATTAAAAATTTTTGAGGAATCAAATAATCTTGATTTAAAAACAAAAGCAGTTACAGCTATATCAGGTATGAACTAATATAAAACTAAAAGAAATGAAGTCAACCTCGAAAATTAACAGAAAACAAATACTTGATGGAAATGATTAGTAGAATAGAAGTTAACTAACGAGGGAACATCCCCAAGTGTGAGTCTCAGTTCTGAATGGGATATATACCAGTTTGTAGAGCTCGACGAGCTGATTCTCGTAGTGTGTTTCGTTTTTGCCCATAGACACCCAAATGAGAAAAACCAATCGATTTTAATAGTGAATTTCTTGTCTTACAATGAAGGGCATGTACTGTTAGTTAAATTGATTGACCATGTTCGGGTCAAATGAACACTCTCACTGAGAAACTAACGAATTTAAAATATGAGCTGCTGTTGATGTACCTGAAAAGAGTTCCTTCAATTTCAATACGTGAAAAATTTAGATATAAAAATGAATCAGGAAAGATTTTCTCCACTATTATAAGGACAGAACATAGTATTGCTCTGGCCAATTAGGGGGTTTGTATGGGTTCTCTTTCATATGGCTCGAATAACATCATGTTTTATCCTTATAATAGTAGAGTGAATATTTTTGGTGATTGATGGAAAACGCTGTTTTCTATGAGTTACAAAAAAAATTCACTCTACTATTATAACAATGCAACACAGCATTATTCAGGCCATGTGAAAGAGCATCCTTAATAACTCCCGATTAACTCGAATAACAAGATGTTCCGTTTTTATAATAGTAGAGTGAATTTTTTCTGTACTCATAGAAAACAGCGTTTTCCATCAATCACCAAAAATATTCACTCTACTATTATAAAGATAAAACATGATGTTATTCGGGCCATATGAAAGAGGACCCATACAAACCCCCTAATTGGCCAGAGCAATACTATGTTCTGTCCTTATAATAGTGGAGAAAATCTTTCCTGATTCATTTTTATACCTAAATTTTTCACGTATTGAAATTGAAGGAACTCTGTTCAGGTACATCAACAGCAGCTCATATTTTAAATTCGTTAGTTTCTCAGTGAGAGTGTTCATTTGACCCGAACATGGTCAATCAATTTAACTAACAGTACATGCCCCTTCATTGTAAGACAAAAAATTCACTATTAAAATCGATTGGTTTTTCTCATTTGGGTGTCTATGGGCAAAAACGAAACACACTACGGGAATCAGCTCGTCGAGCTCTACAAACTGGTATATATCCCATTCAGAACTGAGACTCACACTTGGGGATGTTTCCTCGTAAGTCAAACTTCAGAGTTAACATGCAAATTAGGTATGCATCAATGCAAACTAGTCATTGACAATCTTGTTACATGATTAGATCGAGACAGTTGAAATGAGTCAGACAAAAAAAAATCAAAGGATTACGTAGAGATTGGTAGTTCCTGATTCGAAGACTGCTATTAACTGTTTTTTTTTCTAATCTGCTAGACTGGTCATGACTTACCTAATTCGAGTTCGAATATAAATGAAGCATCAAATGTCTAATATCATTTCGAAAATAAACGAAAAAAAATGAATTCGGCATTTGCTTATAGCAGAAAACAAAATTTTTAATTAATTATAATTTATAATTGATATAGGACAGTCATGGAGCTACGGGAGAGAAATAGAAAAAAAGTTTTTATTAATAATAATTTGTTATTTCCATAAGAATTTTAGTTTAATAGCTAATGTTTAGATTCTTATAGTAAATGTTTGAAGAAATTAAAAGTGTATACTGGAATAGAGTCGACGCACAAGCAGATTTAGTTAGATTACTGTTAGTTTATACAGGGCATATGGTACTGTGGATGGAGGTGCTATGTGCTCCCTGGTGAATTGGAAGTCCTATTCATCTCTATGTATGGAATGATATAAACATTTCTTTAGTTTTTCTTGAGCTAAAATGAAAAGTTGTATAATGGAATATATGAACAGGAGCGTAAGTAGGGGGGGGGGGGGCGCGTGGGGCGTTACGCCCCTCCTGCTTTTGAAATTCTCTATGGCAACGCCCCCCCTGGTTTGAAAAATTGCTTATGTAGTTACGCCCCCCTCCCACAATACTTGACAGTTTTCGTT